GCTGTGGCAGCAGCTGGGCCTCCGGGGAGCGGGTGCCCGGTGCGCATGCGCGCCGCCGCCCCCGCCCCCGGCCCGCGGCTTAAATCATCCTCTGCTGCCGAGGGCCGGGGCTGCAGCCGGGGGCACCGCGGGCAGCTGCGCGCGCCTCCAGCCTGTCATTCAAGTGGGCGCTCGGCCCGCGGTGCTGCGGCTCTGCCTGGCAGGTGCACCATCCGGGCGGAGGGGACAGGCAGGCGGCGGCTGTGTCTGTCAGTGCAAGGAGTGGAAGCTGGACCGGAGACACCCATGCTAGACCAGAGACACCCAGGCTAGACCACATAGACATCCAGGCTAAACCAGGGACATCCAGAGCTGGACCAGAGACACCCAGAGTGGGACCAGAGATACCCAGGGATGAACCAGAGACACCCAGAGCTGGACCAGAGACACCCAGGTTAGACCACAGACACCCAGGCTGTACCAGTCACTCAGGCTAGACCAGAGACACCCAGAGCTACAGCTGAGACACCTAGGGCTGCACCAGAGAAACCGAGGGGTGCCCAGCTTCTTCCTGAAAGATGCAGGGGTAAGATGAGGCTGGGCAGCTAGCGGCTAGAACCAGAGAGGTCCCCACAAGAGCAAAGCTGCAGGGCCCCGACCTGTGTCACCATCAACCCAAATCCCATCTGTAGGCAAGGTGAGTGGCAGCCAACACCGCCGGCCACTGGATTCGAACGTGCAGCCGGCCCTGCGCGGTTCATTAGCCAATCGACAACCCTGGAGCCTCTGCACTCTTCAGACGGGAGAACCGAGTGAAGTTTCAGCCCGGGTCTGACTGCCGCGCTCAGGCTCCAGGGTACTTAGACACAGGTGACAGGTGGAGGTTTGCAAAGATGGAGCGATTGGTGCTGGCGGCCAGAGGGGATGCTCCAGGCCAGAGCGTTCACCTAGGAAACGTGGCTGGGGCGGGGGTGGATAATCGGAAGGTGGGAACGCGGGGACTCAAGTGTCACATTCAGGGGTCCAGGCGGGGAGGACAGTTTCAGGCATACTAAGCCACCACACCCGCTGGAGTCCTAAAAAATCCCGGAGCTACCAGGGTTTGTCAGTTCCGCACCCCAAGCCCCAGCACCTCCTGCCGCTTGGTGATTGGCCACGTTCTACCCCTTCAGGACAGTATGCTCACGGGATTTGCCTATAAGCAGTTGGGACCCGCCTTCCAGAGCAGCCAGCAAACTGGGGCGCAGTGGATTTCGGGAAATGTAGTTCTCTACCGAGCTTCTTGTGCCAGGACCATATCGTGCACCTGGAACTTCTAAAGTTTGGTGGTTTAATATTGTTGAAGTATCGAGTTAATTCACAGAACGAAGGGGAATGAATAATAAAACAAATTTTAAGAGTTTCCTAACCTATCTTTAAGTGATTCTAAACTTTTGGTTTATTTAACTCTCTGAAACACATTTTGTTTAGTGCAGCATATGGTGTTGAGTACAGAGACATAAGAACTCAATCCTGACTTGCAGCAAACTCGCTGCAGTCTCGAGGGGACGGCCTCACATAAGGAACTGTAAGTAGTCTGCATCCGGGGGGGTAGGGTGGGGCAATGACGTCGCGAGGACTGAGGAGGCCCCTGAATTGGCTAGCGAAGGCCTGGAAATGGGGACAGCCAGTTTATGCTGAATGAGCAGGCACTGAAGTAGAGAACCAAGGGGAGAAAGCTCTGGAAGAGGGATGGGTTAAAAATGTCACTAGAGATCTTTGTTCGGTTGGAGAGATGGCTCAGTGGTTAAGAGCACAAGTTGTTCTTGCAGAAGACAGGGGTTCAAATCCCAGCACCCGCATGATGACTAACGACCATCCTTAATTCCAGTTCCAGGGGATCTGACACCCTCTTCTGGCTTCTGCAGGCATTGCATAACACGGGTGCACTTAAACACACACAGTCATAACACACACATATAAAATAAAAATAAATATAATATATATACATACATATGCATATATACATAAGAGAGCTTTCTTATGACTCCATAGGGGAAACTACAAAACAGAGAGCTCACATCCCTTAGAATTTTATCATCTGCCTTTTCACCTAGATTTAGAATATATCAGTTGGGTAATTTGTCATTGAACTCAGCAAAGAGATGACAGTTTCCTGTCCAGAGGCCTTGTAGTGTTATGGAAAAATCCTGGGCTTTTCTATGCCTGACAGAAATTTCAGTCCATGCCCTGGTAATCTGTGTAAACTTGGGCACGTTTCTTAAATTTTCCTAAGGGTCAAATGCATCATGTGCAAGCTGGAGAGATGGCTCAGTGAATACAGTGCTTGCAGGGCAAGCTTGAGGAACCTGAGTTTGGATTCCTAGTACCCAGGTAAAAGACAGTCCTGACATCCATTACGCCAGTACTGGTAGGTGAGGAGACAGGCAGATGCCAGGGGCTTGCTGTCCAAATACTCTGGCTCAAAAGTCTAGCTCCAGGTCTAGTGAGGGACCCTGTCCCAATAAAATAACGTGGAGAGCTATAGAGGACGATACCCAAATTCAATCTCAGGCCTCTTCACATGGAAGCATGGGTACACACACACACACACACACACACACACACACACACACACCACACACACACAATTCCTTATGTGTAAAAATGAGATTGATCACCTTACTAGAGTTTTATGGGGATAAACTGGGGCACAGGGGTTGGAATACCAAAGTAAGTGCTACATTACTGAGCCATCTGTGGCTGTTCAAAAATGTCAGTTTTCTGGTCTATCAGGATCCTTGAGATGAAAAAGATCTTCTAGATGTCACCAGTGTAAGTCAGCTCCCTATTTTTACTTTATAATTACTGTTTTTATTTCCATACCTTATCAGTCTCATCAGATTATGAATTCATTCTGAGATGCCCACAACTCCAGTCCTTAGACGAGTACCTTAAGATTTTGAGATGGATATAGATTAGTATTCTGCAGTTATGGGACAGAACATATCCAGAAACCCATTTAGTCAAAAATTCAAGGCCTCAAAAATCATTAGTTTTATGATAGCAAAAATAAAATAATGAATCCTCAAATTCCTGGTATTTCTTTTTGTTAATTACACTTATTTTTCATGTGCATATGGGTATGTGGGCGTGCACATGACTCAGCATACATATGAAAGTTAGAGGAAAGCTTTGGGGAGTGGATTCTCTCTTCCACTCTGTGGGTCCTGGGATCAAACTTAAGTTGTTGGGCTTGGCAGCAGGTGGCTTTGCCCACAGAGCCATGTCATCAGGCCCTTCTTGAATTTCTTGTAGATCAATTTCAACTGGTTAATTTGTTTTTAAAATAAGGTTTAAAATTTAAGAAATAAATTTATAATGAAAATATTAAAATGTAGTAAAGAATGAGTAAATGTTTAGTAGTAGTTTATATTGTTCATTTTAACAACACAAAACAGAATTTTTTAAAATTTAATTTGATATTTTTTATTTTTTAGAAGAAGCAAAACAGAATTTTACCTATAGTAATCTATCAGCAAAGTTTCCTCCCTCATTCTTAATGCTGAATGAATCAGTATGTTGATTTCAAGCAGTTCAATAGCTTTCTGCCTTTGGGCAAAATAATGGAACTCAAATGGAACTCTTTCCTTCCTACTTATTGAAGAATGAATTGGGATAAAGTATTGTAATAGCAAACCACTAATAAGTTATGGATAGGTAAGTTACATTTAGCTGAACTCAATACTGAGTTACTAGATGAAAAGAAAATGACAAATCTAAACACACAGACACAGACATACACAAACACAGAGAGAGAGAGAGAGAGAGAGAGAGAGAGAGAGAGAAAGAGAG